TTTTGGTCTCAGACCACCCTGAGCAGTGATTAGCAGGGTGTCAGGATGGCACCGCTCCATATTTTGGACCCGGTCGTTGAACCGGGCGATGTAGTCCTTGAGGCTCTCGTTCTCGCCCTGAACGATATTGGAGATGGACTCTTTGGGGGCGAGGTTGACCTGCGATCCGATGAAGTGCGATCAGAACGCCGACCTGAGCTGGGCCCAGGTGGAAATGGAATGAGGGTAAAGGGAATGATACCATCTCTGCGCCTTTGGCCCCAATGTCAAGGAGAACATACGGCAACGCAGGGCGTCAGAGGCGCCGTGCAGGTCCATCCATGAGGTGTACAGACCGATGTGGGAGTCAGGATCCGAACTCCCATCATAGAGGCTGAGCTGGTGTACTTGGATCTGCTTCGGGACGGCCTCTTGCAGGATGTCGGGGGAAAGAGGCGAGGCGTGGTCCACGACCCGAGGAGTGGGTCGCGTACGAGTCTGTGGATGAGCTGGGAGTGAAAACTCACTCCCGGTGGGCTACCGACCTTCCAGTTCGGCAATTCTGCGTTTGAGGGCCGCGACTTCCTCAGTGTCGTGCCCGATGGCTTTGCCCCGCCTGATCACCTCCCGGAGATCATGGTTGGCTTGGCTCTTGTCACCCAAGCGCTGGTGGACAGAGCGGCGAACAACCTGGAGGCTTCGCTCTGGCCGGCTCTCCCCTGTCTGCTCGGTAGGAGCCGGTCTAGTGCTCTTGTCACGGCGGTTCTGAGCCTCGCGGTTCGGTGACTGAGCCGTGGTTTTGGATTTCGTCGGGTTCCTTTGCCCCCCGGTCTCCTTCTCGGGAGTGTGGAGCAGGGTGTTACCGGGGTTCTCTGTGGGTACCACGGTGTTTGCCCCGGCGGTTTGACTGGCGAGGGCCTTGCCGAAGACCCCCTCGAGGGCTTTGAGGACATCAGGGTGCTGCAAAGCCGCAGCAAAGGTAGGGACTGGTGGAACCGGGACTATGGGTCCCTGCTGAGCACGACGGGAGGTTTCCCCGCCGTTACGGCCACGAGGCTGGGAGCCGGACTGCTGGGTGGAGTCGTCACGACCAAATGAAGGCATTTTGAGAAGTTTTTGGAAGTGGAAAGAGTGGGAGAAAGATGAGTGCGAAGTGGAGCTTCACAAGATCGAAAAATTGACACCAAGTAACTTATGGTGCCCTCCTTCTAGCTCCAAACTATTGACGGACGTTTCCGGTCAACGGTTAAAAAGTTAAGTAATGAAAAGATAATAGGAAAAAGGCAAAGAATTGTGGTTTAATTACAATTTTATTAAGCGATCACGAGGTCGGCCTCTCGTACGAGGTCGGCACTTGCGATATACTTACAGTTTCTTATCCGAGTTTCTTACACGTCGAGAGAGAGAAAGTATAGAAAGAGCTTTTACAGTTGAGGTTCAACAACCCCAAAATAAATGAGGGGGTTGCTATTTATATTGGCCTTTAATGCGGTACTGTTTAGGTACTATTCACCGGTCTTGTCGTACAGTAGTTCGGCGGGACAGACCGGCGCTTCTCTGACCGATTGAGAGTGATTTCTGGGTTTTTCAATCATTACCTGCCACGCATTTAATGCGGATGTGAGCTGCATTTAATGCGGACACGTTTTCTGACTGAACTAGACGTCCTAGTCCCGCAGACTAGTCTGGGATGTCCCATCGGCAATCATTTGTCGACAAGTGGCCTTACTTTATTGTGTTTAAGACCGTATCCCTATCGGGAGCCGCCCTTGTAAGATCTCGAACAGGGTGGCGACCTCGTAGTTGAGAGGGTATGGTGCCGATCTCGGAATCGGCTCTACCCGCCGTTCCCGGTGGCTTTGATTTTTGCTCAGCTCGGCACCCACGAACGGTTTTGGTGACCGGCTTCTTCGGTTCGGCCGGCCACCGCTCGGTTTTCGATCTATCGGGCCGGTATCCTTATTGGGGCCGGACTCGGATATTAACAGTGGGTTTAGTACATTAGGGACATTCATATTTGTTGGCTCCTACAGTCATACACGGCTAACTGTCGGATTATATCAACGTCGTGACAAATTTAAAATCGCTATTTAATTTAAAAATATATTTGTTAACCACTTTTGAAATAATGATTTAATTTAAAATCCAATATTAAAGTTATTAACTTTATAATTTTGTAAGTTTACAAATAACATTGTCAGTTTAAATCTGCCAATAATATTTACTACTGTACATGTCAAAAATTGTCAAAGTGTGAACATATAAAGCGCACAATATTAATTCGGATGATGAAAAAGAAAAAAGGAAAAAGAAAAAATGAAAAATGAATGAGCATTTGATTTGAAGAGACATATATCACATTTATTCNCCCAAAAAAAAAAATAAAAAAAAATTGCAGATGAATCCATCGTTCATGGTCCGAATTGATTCACTCGAGCACCCAATCACAGTAAAGTGCTATCATTTAAAATTCATACTTGATTAGTCATTTCTTTTTTTTTTCGGCCTTAGAAGATCTAATAAACCATAAGAAATAATTTTTTAAAAAAAAATGCAGATTATTCCCCAGTTCGCCGATGCATATATTCGGTGAATGAAGTTTGCAGACCTCCGTGTGTACAACGACAACTGGGATTAGTGGACTGTAGGGATCGGTGTGAGTTTGGGCAAGGTCATATTCCAGAAAGGTTGACGTAGCTTTCTTCATGATAATGAAATATTTGAAGGGGACACCCTTATTTTCAAACATATTACTCTTAATATGTTTGAATTAAAATTTTTTAATAGAAAAAGGAGCTTAAAATACCCTCCTCAATTGGGAGAGTTGCCACCATATGATGGTCAAAACGATTTTATGACATAGATTATGGTTTTATTTTTTTTTAATGTAATGTAATGTAAATTAATTTAAAAAAAATGTTGAATATAGTATTTTCTGTTTATGTTTCGCTACGGATGCTGCATTTTATTTTACATTTAATAACTTACTTGAATAAAAATATTTATGTGCTAAAATAATTCATTTACTCTAGTCTTTGCGCACAAATTAAGGAAAATAAATTCGTCAAATGTACTGAACGTCCAATATAATTGTATAATTTATCAATATCCATATTTGACTATATATATACTATATAGCGTCAAAATAGAAAGTGTAAAAATATGATGTACATTACAGTCGTATATTATCAGAAAGGTAATGCAAGCAGTTTAAACTTGTTAAGAGCCATGAGTAATTAAACTTGTACAAGATGAACCATATGTGTTTCTACGTCATATGTTTCTTAACATGATGAATATGTTTCATTGTAAAAAGAACATGTCAAATTATAAGATTAAGATGTCATGTTATAAGATGAGTATGTTTTATTATCAGCTGAATATGTTAAATTATAAGATGAACATGTTGCTTAACACGATGAATATGTTGATTTTGTACAAGCTGAATATGTTTCTTAACATGATCAAGATGAGTAATATTTTAATTATTAGGACTTAAAATACTTGAACTTTGTCATTAAATAATTAATTAAAAAATATCATGATATTTTAAATATTATCACTTTAGTTGAGTGACTGATTTTCAAGATGGCCGCTAAATAAATAGTGATAAACAGTGATAGTTTAGTGACTGATTTTCAAGATGGCCGTTAAATAATTAATTAATGTATTAATTTTTTTTTTAATTCAATTTTTACCGTAAAATAAGCGCATGTATTTCAGGATAGCAAATATTTTCGGATTCCACATTTATTTTATTTAATTCAATTTTTACACCTAGCAAGGTGTGCCAGGGCACAGACGTGTAAGAGCATCTCCAATGATATATAGTCCATTTGGAGATGTATAACATGGAGAAAGAGAACTACAAAATTTTGTCTCCAATGGCGAAAGTCAATTTTAGTATAATTTGACATGTGTGATATTATAATTGGTTGGGAATGACATATATCACATAATAAATAATAAAAAATATTATAGAGGATGTCTAGAAGTACTTCTAGACATAGAAAGACTTCTAGACATTTTGAATGCCACATAAGATTAATAATGCCACATGGCAATAAAAAGGAGCAATCTATGGACCATTGGAGATGCTTTAAGTGGCAATGGAATATAGCAATCCCTATACCATTGTAGATGTTGTTTGTAGTAAATTCAACATTGATGTGAAACACATCTGAAGAAACATGGATCATTGACATAAATTATGTTGACACTATCCTTTATATTATCAAAATTATTAAATATATATCAACCAATAATTTTTACATATGACATTAATTTTAAATTCCCAAGAAACAAGTAACCATATTATATTTTTCAAATTTGACACTGATTAAGAAAAATAGTAGTAATATTTTAAGAAAAAATCTAATTATTTTAAATTCGAGCAAACTATTCTGTTCTATCTCGGCCCTAGTCTTTCGTGTCTGAAAAAATTAAGACATAAACTATTTAAGTATGTTCGATTAACTCGAAATTTGTCGGTTCGAACTCGTTTTCTTTCAATTATAAGACGAGACTAATTTTCTGTGCGAGCTTTTATTCGCAAACATTCGGTTCGTTTGCAGCCCAACGACAAACCAATCAGCATTGGTTTTAAAATCAAAATAATAATGTTCATAAGTTGACGATTTTTTTTTAACGATGACCGAGAAAAAAATGATTACACCTCGAAACGCAATAGATTTTCAAAAGATTTTCATACTACATTTTCGATCCACTTATTTTATTTTTTTTTAAAAATTCACTTTCTTTACACACAACTAGATTAATACATTCATACACGGTGCAAATCAATAATTACGATTTAGAAGATAAAGAGTCGGTCATAAATTAAAGGCAAATAACCGAGAAACCCTTTCAATATTACAAACTCGAACAACTCATCAATTATTTTACTCATCCAATTTTGCTGAAGGATCCAATTTTGCAGAAGGTGGACAGATCGTTCATCATCCGTGTTGAGTTCAACAAATTTCCAATAACGGTAATTTATTTTTTTCCCATTTCGCAACATGTTAACATATCAAATATTACACCGACATATCTTTATTGCAGATTTTACCCTTCGATTGCACAATGACAAGGGGAACACTTGGATTGTTGTCGCCGGTCTATATGCCGGAAGCGCCATCTTCCAAGAGGGTTGGGGTAGATTCCTTCATGATAATGGATTAAATGAGGGAGACACCATTTTCTTCGATCATATTGCTTTGCATATCTTCAATGTTCTTATTTTGGATGATAAAGGAAACATAAAATCCGCTCCTGCTAAAGGTGATCTACCTCTTTATGCAAGTAGAAAGGATTTTATGACTTAGTTTATGTTTTTTATTTTTATTTTTATCGTTCAATGTTTTTTTTTTATAAACATAATGTAATGGTTGGTTGTGTTTGCAGTTAATTTATTTTATGTTTTATGAATTTATCAATTTCGAATTTGTGATTCTGTTTGCACGCTCATTACATTTGATAAATTCTACGGAAAAATATATATATAAACAAACACTGATATGAATAATGAAGAATAAATATAACAATTGTTAATGTTGTATGTACAAACTAATTGCATTATAAATATAATATTATGAAGGATGCCTTCACAACTAAAGTTGAAAATGATATATAATTTTATATGATCATATTATTTCGACGGGGANAACTCTCCTCGCTCTGAAATTTAAAATCGGCTCGCTCTCTGTATAGAATTTCAGTTCGCGTGTAACATGTTTGTACGTAACATGTTTCTTAACATGATGAATATATTTCTTTGTAAAATGAACATGTCAACTTTAATAAATCGCTGTTAGGAGTTTAGAGCTGATATCTTTACACACTGCTATGCACATGCTGAGGTTCCTTAAATAAAAATTTCACAGGTTAATTCATTCATTTCCACTCTACATCCAGATAGAGAAGATAGATTTCATTGGGGACTAGAAGTTAAAGGTCAATTCTCAGTTTCAAGCACCTACAAATCCCTCTCTCATCTCAAGCTAAGGCAGCTGGATATTCCTGAGAGTAGTTCACACCAGCTCATCCCCAAATCTGTTCAATTTAGGCATTGGAAACTCAAGGTAGCTGGGAGGATTAAACACTTCTTATGGAAATGTATCACTGATACACTACCTGTTGCAGTTTTACTGAGGAAGAAAAAAGTGGATATTGAATCCATATGCAGTATCTGTGGAGAATCAGCTGAAACCATTGAACATATCCTTCTAAATTTCCCTAGAGCTTGCAAAGTATGGGAACTATCTCCTGTAAGATGGGAAGGCATTCAAGGCAGCAGAAACAAGTTCAGATACTGGTGGTTGGATATTTGTTCTCTTGACCACACTAAAGCAACCGAAGATAGGATACAACTATCAACTTACATCCTTTGGTGGCTTTGGAAATCAAGAAACTTGTGGATATTTCAAAATAATCTCATGCCGGAAGCACAGCTATTGAAAATAGCTCACTCGGATTGGCTCCAGTTCTCATCTGCCCACATTACTGTTTAGTTTCTGTTTTTGTTCAGTTTTTTTGTATCCTAGTTAGTTGCTAGAATCAGTTTTCCTCTAGGCTTTTAGCAGTAGATGGGACTGATTCTATTTGTTTTTTGTTTGTTTTGCTGTAGTTTGTTTCCTCTTGTTGAGGCTCTAGGCCACCCTTGGGTGTGTCTCCCAGTTTTTTATTTCGGTTTCGACCTATCTGTATTCTAAAACAGTGTATTCGGACTTTGTCCCCTCGAGTTATATAATAGTTACTCTGTCGTCTTGGAAAAAAAAAAAAATTCATTCATTTGATCTGGTTTCAAATTTATACTCGTTTTTGCTATAAACTTTCTCGAATTTTATAATATAGCATGTTTTGAGTTTGGGGCTGAAAATTTGTGGACTTACTAAGTTCTGGTAGATGAAATTTTGGTTAAAATTTCAGAGTTAAACTCATATGATAACCTGACCAACATATTTTTGTGTTTAAAATCTAGTATTTTCAAATAAATGATTTTGGTATTAAAAATTGTAAATCGGCTCGCCTTCCGTTCCTTTGTTTGTTTGACTTGGTCAATCTTTTTTTTGGATTATGTGAACTCCCTTGTGTATTTGGTTGAGTCTTACTGTCGAGTCTAAGTGTTCCAACGTCCACAGGACTTCACGAACAACTTAGTCGAATCAAGTTCGGCTAAGAATAATTTTGATTTTCGTTTAAGTCAGAATAGATGTTGATTATGGCATCTGGACTTAATGTAGGTGTTTAAGGAATTGAGCCCTCGACCTACCGACTTGTTTGTGTGCCTTCTCTACTGAATTACCAGGTGGGTTTTATTTAAACGTGTGATATGATCAATGTATGCATGTAAACCATGTAGCCTTCGATGTGAGCTGTACTGGCCGTCGAACGGTTATCCCCGTAGCTATAGAATGTACCCGATGGTTAGTCTCGTTTTTTTATGTATAGCCGTAAGACCGGTGCATGGGCCCTCGGCCGGTGATCCCTGTTTGTAAGACCAATTCATAGGTCTTGGTCGGTGGGGTGGATTGCTCCTACTGGCTGGGCATCGTTGTAATACCAAGGCGTAGCTTTTGGCATTCGAATCGAGTATCAGCAGTAGTCTATGCGTAGGTGTGCACATGAGGGTTGGCTTTGTGATAGAAGGTGGGATAATTAATTGATTCGTATACATGCTGCGACATACCTGACTTATTCATGATTACTGTTTTATATATGTTGATAAATGTTTACTGCATAGTGGTGAGCACTACTATTTCCAACTGTGCTCATCCCCACATGAAATTCACATTTCAGGTTAAGCGAGGCAGGTACGACGGCGGAGTAGAGCGAGTGGTGGTCGGACTATGAGGCCAGTTTAATTATTTGTTTTGCTTCCGCATCATGACTGGTTTTGTGATTATGAACTTAGAATATTCATGCGTTTATGATTTTCAAGATATTGTTGAATTAATGTTAAAGGAGATTCTCCTTGGATACTATGAATATTGTTGGAACCCAGTTTGGGAGATTGATGTATTTTTGGAAAACCCGTTTTGGGAGTTGGAAACATTGAGTTTGATGATTGATTGAGTATTGAGAAATTGGTTAAGTATTGAAGTTCGTTTTGAAAATGAGTAGCGCCTTAGGTGTAATGAAATAAATTTGAAAAATTTATTCTGATTTTCGGTAAATAAAAGTGGGGCGTTATAGTTTAGTATCAGAGCCAGTCTACATTTCTGTAGACTGGTATACGTGAATTATGTGGGGTACTTGATTTATTGATGTAGTATACGACCACTCGCTTCTGTCGTGCCTCGCCAACTTAGGTATGAATACTTGAGTAATATTAAATTGTTTATGTAAAGTAATATGATATTATGAGATGTAAACCGGGGCTTAGGAATTTATCCTTCTACTTTTAAACGTTCTGGAACTCTAGATGAGTGGTGAACCTTAGCTGTATGAACTTGAACTCTAGCGATATAGAGTTAAGTTCTAACTTGATGTTTTGTTTGTTTAGAAATTCGATATAATGTTGTCGAGCTAAGTTCTGTGTATAACAGTCCTCTCGATGTATTTTTCGTGTCTTCGGATGAGGACCATTCGCGAGCCATCTTGAAAGGAGAAGGCTTAAACGAAGGGAGCAGCTTGAACCGATAATGAAAACAGTGAATCGTGGACTCATGAAGACGAAGCAGTCGTGCTACCTTTCTTAAATTCTTGTCTTCTTGTAGACTCTTGCAAACCTTTTCCATTCACATGGCAACAATTTTGAAGTGTGCTTGAGGATTCTATTTGTTATCCCATTTTCGTATTTTAAGGATTTCGCTTGATCTTCCCCTACTTATATTCTCTCTGTAACTATTTTAAGCTTCCCAACTTTAAAATTCGCTTCTCTTGAAGTTTAGCTAATTCTGGTTTATCTTATGCTGGGAATTGACTTTGTTATGAAAAACCTGATTTCAAGTGAGATTAAGCATCTCTTTGTTTCTTCTTATCTTTATTCTCTTGTGAAGTATGGGAGTTTCGTTCGAATGCCATCGCTAGAATATCACGAAGACTCGAGGAAAAAAATTTTCTATCGTCACTTTTGTGAATAACCTAACCTCGAGGGGGACAATAATTGTTCACGCTCGGCATCGAGATAAACGCACAAGAGCTGAAACCAGCACAATTCGGTTCGATAAAAAGATGGAGTGTTTTTCCACCTCAAAGGATTATGCAGAAATCTTTAAGGAGGATAGTCGAGTCTGGAGCAAGCACATCGCGTAGTGCAGACCCGTCCTTATTCTAAATTTTGTTCACCGTAAAAATTTTTGTTCTTCTCCTCCTTTCGGAATCCCGGGAGGAACTTCACGTTTAAATCCCAAAGTGTGAAGATTGGGAAGGGAGTTGCGCTCGTTTAGGACTGCTGACACGATTAGCTACCCGAGGAAGAGCTGACGTGTCGGCCGATGCTGTTAGTCGGAAGAGCCAAGGCGAGCTATCTATTTAATGGCTCGGCAGGAGCCGCTGACTTAGAGAGAATCGCCAAGAGAGTTCTTTTGAGACTTCGCATATCAATAGATCTGTGGCGTATTGCATTTTGTTGTTCTAGAAAGTTGGTGGACTTGGAATTCGAACTTGCACCTTGCTATTTGGAGACTTTTTGAAACTTTGGAGTTTGTGAAATGCCTGATACATAAATTGTTTTGTTGATCCCAATATTTTCGAAATTTGGTAAAACCATCGCTTTTTGGATTGTCTTCAATTGTAAATTTCTTGTGGAACCTTGGACCGAAAGCCGGCCCTGACCGGGTGTAGCCATGCGAAGTGGTGGCTGAGCACGCACCCTCATGCTGAGAGACGCGAGGCCAACCATGGGGCCGACCGTTGACTCGCACGAGAGCTGCAAGCGTCATCACCGTACGCACGAACTCCCCAAGCCAGCGGATGTGGCTGAACCTTGACCTTACAGCTGGTCTCCAAGTAGGTGGGTACGCACGCGTCCCAGCGCCCCGCTTATGCAGCGCCAGCGAGCGTGCCGCCTCTTGGGTGACAGTACACTAACCCCGAATCTTCGATTCATTTCGTTGATCGACCAGGTTTTGCCGAGCTATTTATGTTACCCCGAACCTTGAACCGAGAGCTCCAAGTTCCACTAAAATGTGTTTAAATCCTTAATCGATGATTTCTTGTCAAGGAGTGTAGTCGATGAGTCCCTATGCTTCACTTGAGAGTTTCTCGAGTCGGCACATTGGGAGTGTCGTGTTGTATGTAAGTGGTACCGTGTTGTGGTCTCGGATGGAGACGCATGGTCTGTGATGGAATCGTGAGCAAGTTATCAGCGTGACTCGGATAC